TGCATTGTCTCTGGCTCCGTCTCCTTCTCCTTCTCCGACTCCTTCGGCGACTCTGACTATTTTGTATATTGAAATGTTGGCGCATAGAAATTTATTTGCCGATTTCCTGATTTATGACAACGCATTTCTTTTATTTCACCGGACTCGACTCAACTCGGGCCACTGTCCACTGGTCAGCGGCAGCAAATGATGCGTCAGCATATGCCCGCTCGCCCGTCGGCTCATGCCACACCATGTGCCGCCCATTAAGAGATACACTTACTGCTCTGCCCCTTTCCCCCGGAAGGGTAATCGCTTAATTGAATGCGACTCTTTGTGCGGTTAGCCAGCAGCCACCAGGTGGGTCGGCTGGCTGACTGGGCTGGTCACTCGCTCGGCGAACGTGTTGCGGCTAGCGATGACCAGATTAACATTCCAAGTGAGCGTATTCTCAAAGAGTTCAAATTGCAAGCACATCGTCAAAGAAGAAGAGCAATTAAACAGTCTCTAATTCAATTAGATGACGGGGAGTAAAAGTAACACTATTCTCTGAACTTCTATACTCTCTTATCTTATGGTCGAGGAATCTCATCAATGAAAACATTTTAGTGCTGAATAGTACTGAATGCAATATGGAATAGAATCATATGTATGTGAATATAAAGTATATATACTATATATACATATACATATATACCTATATACAGTCGAGTCTCGATAATCAAAAATCGCGATAAGTGGAAAAATTCTATCTCGTTGAAATAAAATCGTTATTGATAATTTTCGATAAATTGAATTTCTGTGTAAATAAGTATAAAATATAAAAAAAAAAAATAAAAAAAAAAAAAAAAAAAAAAACCTGATCCCCTTGCCATTTCGAATTATCGAGATTCGATCTGTTATATGTTCATATGCATATGCCTAGTCAAATGGTAAACTTACCTATATCATATATTTCCTTCAAAACAATAATTTTCAGATGCGATGCACAATTTCTGCCAAATCTTGTTCAGCTCCTGCTTCAATATTGCCTTCATCTACTCGATCATATATACATATACAGTAGAGTCCGGTTAAAACGACTCCGTTTATAACGTTCGTCTTGTTAACAATAATTCGATGTCTTAGCTAGTTCCCACAAACTTATCTAGGAGGGTATAACGACGTAAAATCGTCAGTCCCTTGAGCGTCGTTATAACCGGAATCTACTGTATATATATTTTGTCATCCTCAAAGTAATCCTCTTCAGATTTGATCCATAATATTTGCTTAAGTTACTACAACTCTTTTTCAGCTCGTCCTTCGTTTCTGTGTCTTCTGTCTTCATCTTTCGAGCTCTTGATTTCTCTCTATCTATTTCGGGAATAGGAAAAACTTACTCTGGTCTTTGGTCTGTTTTTAGCCAAAAATTTGCTGCTTCGCTTTTCGCTTTTATTTTTGATGTAGAAAACTGTAATGCATTGCAAAATTCTCTTTTAAATATACTAACTCACCTCAAGCCAAGAACTCCTTAGGTCACTCCTTAGCTCTACTTTTGGCACACTTTGCATAGAAGTTTTTAGCTAGATTGGAAATCTTTCGGTAAAACAAAAAATAAAAGAGTAATCATGTTGATCAATATTTACCCGAACAAAGACAAACCATCAATAGATATATGAAATCGTTGCTTTGTGGGCTCCTGAATGGAGGGCATTACGTAGTCGGGCGCTGTGTGGCTCTAGGACTTTCCCTAAAGCTCTTAAAGAGCGCTCTCGCTCCCTCTCCTTTGACCGGCAGAGCTCTTAAAACGCGAACAATATTCATTAGTCCGCATGCTTGGGCTGCTATGGCCAGCCATAAAGTGTTTGGCCAGCCAATCCCGTTGCTGACCGCTTGCCATCTCGCTCGATGGCTCGACGGCTCAACTGGCGGACACTTATTAGCGTCGAGTACATCAATCATCGGCTTGTTTTAATTTTAAAAAATCGCACGCTGTTCAGCGTCGTTCGCCCGGTGGGGGCGACCGACCAGGGGCGGGGGTGGTGGTGTGCCCAAGTTTTTAGCACTTAATTAAATGCCAAACCGAGCGACCGAGCAACCGTCCGCCCACCCGTCGGGCGACGCGTCGACGTTGCATAAAATCCCGCCCACTGTGCGACATGTGCTGCTATCTCTTTCCAGCACAAGCTCGTCCCGGCATGCGTGTGCGTGAGTGTGCATGGGAAATTTCCGAGTCGTAAGGAAATTATTGTATCATGCTTAAAGAGCGCCATTTTCTTTTGCTCACTTCAATTCCCTCTCTCACTCTCGCTCTCTCTCTCACTCTCGCTCTCTCTCTCTCTCTCTCACACCCTTAAGCTTTTGCCTTGTGGGTGGGACTGGGTGGTGCAGCGCCCGTTTGTAGTGGGTAAATGGGCGTCTCTCTCAATCTCCCTCTCTCCCTCTTTTCAGCCCATTCCCTCCCCCCTCTCCCCATCCATGCTTATACTGCGCACAAGATTGATCTGTTTAATAAGCAGCCTTAAAATTCTTATTATTAAAAGTGTAAGCCAGTTTTAATCCGCTTTTACATCCGCCATGGAAATATTTGTATACAAATTCGTTGAGCCAGCCACCTGAAGCTCGTCAAAATTATGAACTTGGCTTTGCCGCAGGCAGCGGCCAGGCGCCTTGAGCCATAAAAAAAAGTTCAATAAAAAATAATTACATTTTGTTGGCTTACCTCAAAAGAACTTGCCATGATATGAAGTGAGATAGTCCGCCTCAAATTTTATATTGAATTCGTTTTCCATTTTAATTGGCTTTAAGCTAGTTGTGGATGGAAGTATGAGTGTGAAGCGTATGAGTGCAAAATATTTTTAATTCTTTTTATATTTTATTAATATTTTTTATTTTGGCATTTTTGAGTTATATATTTTTTTAAAATTTACTTAATATTTATTTTTAATATTATTATTATTGACATATATTTTAATTATCAATATTTTTGATGGTAAGTATTATTTTTTAAATTTACATATAAATATTTTTTTTTACTAAATATTTCGTTACTGAAGTATTTTATTTATATTTGTTTCTATATTCCCAATTGTTGCCAAACAAAAATTTGTTTGATTTATGTTAAGATTCCAGTGAAATATTTTGTTTTCAAATTTGGAATTATTTCCTCCCATAATGTGAGATTTTATCTCTTGTATTGACTGCATAATGCTCTGAAATTTCTATATAAATACCATAATTTTGATCTGCACAAATATACATATATGTGTGATAAATTTATTTATTTTTATACTTTTTCTTTTTTTGATTCGAGAATGCATTCGAAAATAATACGTGAGCAAATTATTGTATTAATAATGAGCTCTAAGGGGAATTTACTTACATATGAAAATTACATAGTTTTTTAATGCTCTAAGTCTTATTGTCAATTAAGTATAGTAAAATTCGGCTCCGCTTATAGCGTCCGTGCGGGTATTGCGACGAAAATTCTGGTCCCCAGACAAAACTTAAACGATATATGTAATATGATACGTTTTTTATTTAATTTTTCGCTTTATCTTTTGCCACTGAATATGTTGCGCCACAATGTTTAGCAACAATGTTGCAGCTGTTGATTTGCAAATTTCCCACTTGGGAATTGCTAATTTCTGTTGCCTACTTTTAGCTGTTGCCTACTTTTAAGCAGCAGCGCCAACTAAGCAAGAAATGTGTAATCTATGAATGTGACGGCTATTAAAGGCGTGACAGATAGAAATGATGGCGTAGAGCAGGATATATACAAAATTCATACAACATAGAGCTTTAAGTTGGATCTGAAACAGCTGTTGGGTTTGTAGATATACATATGTATAGGTATGTACTCGCACTTGTGAGCTATGAGCTTACAACTTTTCTAAGCACATCCTGTCAATCGCGAGAACTCAACGTAAAAGAAAATTCTATTCAGACAAAAGTCCTATTCTTACATCAATGTGGATTTTGTATGACAGGCAGTATAACAGTATGACAGGAAATCTTATTCGTTAAGCTAAATGCCAAAAAGGACAATCGCAGGCTTAGCCAAGACACACACTCTCGCACGCTCTTAAACTACCCGCTTCTCTTTTAACGAAAACACCTTGAAAATTTCCCTTTCATCGAGAGAAATCTCTTTTGACGAAACTCGCATTTAACCGTTTAGCACATAGTAAAGACACAAACCAAAAAGATGAACTCATTGTGTTTGCCAAGCTTCACTTCGGCTGTTGTTAAGAGAGCTTTCGAGCCTTAACGACTTTATGAAAATAAAGCGCGCTCAGAAGAGGAAACGGAAATGAGAAAAGCCCAAGCTGAGAAGCTTCCCCGAAGTCAGCTGCGAGTAGGGTATGACGTAGTGCAGTTACGCCCCGTGTGAATAAAAATCTCTCATGCATCCCAAAATTAAATTTCAAGTTTAGCTTCTTTTGCACAATGAAATTTCTTTTTTATTATTTTGTCGCATTCGACTATTTTTATTTTTTATTTTACACATTTATTTCTTTTTTTTTTTTTCTTCTTTTTTTCTTTTTTGCACACATAAAATTTGGCTTACTTAAACTAAATTATTTTTATGATCTCATTATAAACTTTTGTTATCCGCTCAGTTTCGTTTAAATTTTTATTTTTATCGCGCCAATTAACTTTAGTTTACACACAATGCAGTCGTTAGTTGTTAATGCGTGTTAATGCTAGTCAAAAAAAAAAAAAAATTATTACATCCATACATATATGTAGAGTATATACATGTATATGTATATATAATATATGTATATTTATTTATTACTTTATTTAGACAGCTTTTTTATTTTAACATCTAGTAAAAATTGTAATAGTAGTTGTTTTTTTTCCTATCTTTTTTGATATACTTAAAGTATATCTTGCGCTGTTAAAAAAAAAAAAAAATATATTATACAAAAAACTTGTTATTCATTTATTTATGTATGGCTTAACTAGTTAGACAATTACGAGTAAAATACTTGTAATATCCATTTTATTGTAGTAAAATCGATAAATTTGCATTATTCATATTTCTTCTTTTTTTTTATTTTTATTTTTTATTTTGTTCTTGACATTTATAGTTCGTTTTCGACTTATATATATACACAATTTGGCTAAGAATCCAATCGGCTTAGGCTAAAAGAAAAATATCGATATCTTAATATGTGTTGTATGTGTGTGTGTGAACTCAATAGCCAAAGCTAGGCTTCCATTTCAGCTGAAGTTAAACTTTATTGAAATTACATTAGCTATGAGTAGTCGAGCCTAAAGATTCAATAACAAACACATACAGAGCTCAAAGCAAATAAATTTGTGAGTGACTGCGGCACAGTTAACCAAAACAGTTAAGGAGAGCTCTAGCCGGGTGTGCCCGACCAGTTGATACCCTGCACCACATGCCGAGCTGCTGTTCCAAATACATATGTACTTTAGCTTACATCTGCGAATGCATAAACAAAATCACACGCACACTAATGCAGATGTAATTAATTTTATTTTCAAATTTAATTATAAAATAACAAATAAATTATTAAATATACAATTTTCCGTGAGGACTCGAACACGCGTCTATGGCCAAACGTCAGCTGTCATTTTAAACGTCGCCTCTACGCACACCGTCATTCCGGGAAAACAATGCAAAGCCAAGGCTAAAGCAGCAGCTTAAGTATGTTTGAAAGGGTTAGTCTATGCCATTTTATACATAGAACATTACACAAAGCGTTCAACCATTTGCATAGCTGTGTGTGTGTGTGTCTGTGTGCGTGTGAGTGCGTTGACATGGCTGGAGCAAGAGCATATGCCTGTCGCTAAATTGACTAAACATTTTCTTAAATAACTTCTGAGTTTTTGTACGGATTACGATGAAATTCTCAACACAGAAAGCTGAAACTAATATATAATGCAATGCGAATATTGAAATTTTCAAAATAGTGAATATCTTACAGTTAGGCTCTATGCGCAATGTATTGTTGTACAATGTATTGTACATACAAAACTTGTTGAATATTCAAAAGAAGCAGAATTCAACAGAGTATTGCTATAGGTATTTTTGTTGATCTCCTGAAAATTGAAGGAGGTATGGATGATATCCACATGGACAGTTGAAGCTTCATTCTCTAGCTGCAGAGACATACGAATAGACATAGTGGACTCGGCTGTAGAGCCAAACAAGATATATAGTACTTTCTGGTATTGCAACCATAAATTCAGCTCATTTTCACAGAGTTCAACGAAGAACTAGATACAATCTCAGCTTAGTTGGTAGTAAATCAATATATATATATATATATATATATTATATATGTATATCATATAAAAGTCGACTAAAGTCAGACCATGTTCAAGTTAGGTGATGAGCGTCATCGATTTGAATCTCTTATCGCTCGCTTCTGGGCCTCTGGTCGCTGCGCATTCAACTGAAAGCGAAAAAAGTTAACAATTCAATATAATGAACCGGCATGTTTTTGGTTGAATTGTATTTTTCATTGCACGGCCAACGGGCTGCGTGCTTTTTTCGCCACCAACTTTGAGCAGAATTCTCATATTTTTAATGACTTTTGCGGTTGTCGGAGAATACAAAATTTAATTTGACGCCGGGCTCTTGTAATGTGTCCAACTGTCTCTGGCTTTGAGCTGGGTCATCTTTTATGTGCATCTACAAGTTGTCGCCTGCTGCTGCTGCCGCTGCTGCTGCTGCTGCTGCTGCTTTAGCCTCTGCTCTCAGTGGCGGCATTGACTGTGGCCAGCTAACGTCTAACCGTTTGTAATCAGCCTTTAATCCTGCTAATGACTCCTGCTTCAAATTGCAAGGCTGCATGACAAGCGCATCATGTGGAGAGTAATGAGCGGTTTTTGCCATTGCCATTGCCATTGCCATCGCAATTGACATCGGCCACGCCCCATTTGTGCCACTTGCCCCACCTGCCTCACACTTTGACCGCTTGCCAATCGGCTGCCCGTTGCCTTCTATTTTACTCTTCTTCAGCTCATCATCATCATTGCCCGTGTCGTTCCTCCTCGTTCAATTCAATCAATCAAATTGCTTGGCATTTTTAGCTTAGTACCATTCCCACGCAGCCACGCCCCCTTACGCCACCGCTCACTCAGACATCTCACACTTGTCTCTGTCAGCATGCGTCAGTCCATTCCAAATATTCTAAACTTTTCGCTTTTATCCAAATTACAACAAAAAATTTACAAAAAAAAATAAATAAATAAATAAATAAAAAAAATACAATTAAATTGAAAAGGAATAGAAATGCGAGAAAAATTGTTAGCAAGCAACTGAATCAATCTACATTTCGATCAATCAATCCGCGATGTTAAGCATAAAGAACGGAACTAGGTAGATTTATTACTGATTTTATATATTAGAAAAGTATGAATCAGTCTTTGATTGATCAATCACTGATTCTGTATTTGAAGGTAGTAATCAAATGAATCAATCATTCATTAATCAATCGTAGATTCTATATGAAAAAACAGATAAATAGATCAATCACTGATGACGGATCAACCATTGTTTCTAGTTGTTCTGAGCTAACTCAATAAATATATTGATTAATCCCACAGTAAATACATTATTAATCATTGATTGATATCAATCATATATTTGCACATAGGAAAGTAGACAATGACAGCAATCATGGATTCACCACATGATATAATTTTTAATTAATTAATTAATTAATTAATTTTTAGCATTAAGAAAATACTCTTGATTGATTGATCAATCATTGATTCTGTGCATAAAAAAAGTTGTAAATTGGGTATATCATTGATTGACAAAAATTATCAAATTATCAAATCATCAATCATTGACTCGGTATAAGCGAAAAGTAAATGTAAATCAATCATTGATTATGCATTCATGATTGATGGGAATTAACCATTGATTGATCAATCATGGATGCGCCATACAAAGAACGCTTAAGGATTATGAAAACTTAACAAATTTCAAAACATTTTACATTCTCCATTCATTTTATACACCAACATTTTAGCTTAATTTTAAAGTTCTTAAATATATCATTATGTCAGTTGATTATTTTTAGCATGAACTGTAAGTTAGTAAATCGTGCAGATATAATCTACATATTTTATATCTGTAATTGCAAAATCTAATTCGAAAATAAACATATTTATTTACACTTATTGCATGAAATACTTAAGAACTCTATTTATTTCTTGGAACACCCGAATAGGAAATGAAACTCGAAATTGCGAAAATGTTTTTTTTTTTTTTTTTTTTTTTTGAGATTGGTGAAAACGAAACTTGTTTAACGAAATTGAATTTCGGAACACGTTCAACTGGTAGTTCTTTTTTTATGTGTATTTTTCGGGTTCACAATCGGGGCAGAGGGTAAGAGGAAGAAAAAGCCATTGAACGCCAACGCAATATGGTGACCGTGCTAATTGTGAGTTGACAGTTTTCCGCGCCAGATGGGAGTGAAAAACGGAAAAACGTGCAAACAGACACCGAGTGGGCAAAAAAAGGACAGGGAGAGGGAAGGAAGAGGGGGGGGTGGTGACAACTCCACTTGAACGCCGGCCGAGCAGTTGGAGCTGTGTCAAAGATGATTGTGCGTCAAAAAATGAATTCTGAACGCAGTCAGATAATCAAATTGACGTTGAGATATTTGAGTATGTCCATTTACACACAGGGCACTCGTTCTGTTCCGGGGGGGTGCGTGACAGACACAGTGGTTGCGAGAGCGAGGGCGGCAGGTGGGTGGGAAAAACAATTTAATAAAATCATTAAAGCAGCTGGGAAAGCGAGGGGCCCAAGCGAACGTGCGACGAATGTGCTGAAAATCACTTAAAAACTATTTTCACGCAAATTGCTTCAGTGCCATTTGATAGGTAACCGAGGCAGCTAGACAAGAGAGGAAGCAGGGGGAGAAAGGGCGTGAGCAGGAGTGGGGCTGGGGGTAACGTGCTGCTGCTGCTGCTGCTGCTGCTTGCACGTGCACGTGATGGATGGACTGCGTCTGACCCATTCGCTGGCAACATTCGCCATTCGTCTCCCTGTCACGTTCGTCATGCATGTAAATGAAGAAGTTCCCGGATCGGGCATGCTGGCCGCAAGTCAAGCAACAGGATTCGGACTGCTCTGTGGCCACGCAGATGGCACGAGGAGGGCAGGGCGGAGGCAGCGCCGAGAGCCAAAGAGAGCGACGCTCAAAATGTCCAAATGGTGGTCAGCGCTCGCAGTTGTCGCTGTCTCTTCTGCTGCTCCGGCTCCTGCTACTCCTGCTGCTGCTGCTCCTGCTGCTGCTCCTGCTGTCGTTGTACTTTGGCAAATGTTGTTGTCGAGCGTCTGCTTAGTGTCTGCACGTTTAGTTGAACATTGGTCGGAACAGCAGCGCCTATTTGGCTATATATGTATATATATATATATATGTATATATATGTGAGTGTGGACATGTACACGGCTCTGCATTCAAGTGCATTCAGTGCCTGTTCCTACGCTCGACAGCAAAGAGGCTGCGCTTAAATAGGGATAAATTAAAGAAAAGGGAGCGGGTGAAATTTCCCAACCACCAACCCAGCGCCCATTGGAAAAAGCCAGGCTAGGCAAATTAACATTACCTGGCTTTAAAGCCAAAAATACAATTGAATGCGACATTGTGTTCCGGCCGGAAAAGTGGCGTTTGCTTTTGCGTTTGCGTTTGCTATTCGTTTGCCTGATTGCGCCACGCCGTCTCCATGTCCGCGTTCATGTTCGCCTCCGTGTCCGTGTCCTAGTCCGAGTCCGAGTCCGAGTCCGCATCCGTGTCTGTGTCTGTGTCTGCGTCCGTGTGCATGTCCGTGTCGTGTCAACGGCGTCGCTGTTGCTGTGGTTAATATGCCAGCCATTGTGCCATGCTTCTGTTCCTTGTTGTTGTTGTTGTTGTTGTTGCTGTTGCTGATGCTCATGGCTGTTGCAGTTGCAGTTGCTGTTGCTGTTGCTGTTGTTGCTGATTGGCGTGCAATCCTTAAATGTCAATGGGACGTCATGATAATCACGTCTGGCGCTGAATTCCGTATGTCAATGAACACTTTCGACTCCTCATTCTTCTGCTGCTTGCCGACGCCGCCGCCGACGCCGACGCCGCTGCCGCCACTGCCCTTGCTGGGCAGCACCGTCGTTTGGCCCTGCAGCTGGGCGTGGCCCTTCGGCAGTCGCGTAGCAACGCTGGGAGCTTGCTGCTGTTGCTGCTGCTGCTGCTGCAGCTGCATCTGCATCTGGTGCTGCAGCTGCTGCTGCTGATGCTGGTGCGCAGGATGCGAATGATGCGTGCGCTGCGGCAACTGCTGCTGCTGCTGCTGCTGCTGCTGGTGCTGATGATGATGATGGCAGATCTCTTGCGGCTTCACGGCGGAGGCCACTATTACGCCATAATGCGACCGCTGCCCGCTGCCGCTGCCGACGCCGACGCCGACGCCGCTGTGCCGCTCCTCCAGCTCGATGGACTCGTGTTGTGACGGCGCACGTGGCAGGTGCATCTGACTGCGACGCGTCAGTGTGCCCAGATGCGCTGCCGCCGCTGCTGCTACTGACGGCGGCGGAGGCGTGGCCACCGGTAGCGACGGCGACACGGCCATCAGGCCCGGCGCCGCAGCCTGCTCGTATCCGAATGTGGAAAAGAAGCGCGGCGGTGGCGGCGGCATCACAGCGCCAGCCACGCTCCCTCCGCCCAGCGATGACGAGCCGGACTTCTGTCTCATTAGAGTGGCAACGGCGCTGGGGCTGTTCGCGAACAGCGACTCCCTGCGGGGCAGAAGGTGTAAGCAAAGAGAAGTGAAACATTTCAATATTTGTCTTCCACGTTCCTTAAACAAACCCACACCCACACCCACACCCACACCCAGACCCGGACCCAGACCCACACTCACATCCACATCCACATTTATGCCCACGCGCTTAATCAAAGAGTCTGCTCCGACCCCATCATCAGCCATATGGTTCCCGCCTTTGGGGCGCTGTCGAAACTGTGAAAGTTATTTTTACTATCAGTCCGCCTCTTTCATTGTCAGTGTTATATTGGCACTGTTATACTGTGAATTTTGTACAACTAATGCTATCCTATTATTTTCATACATGGATACTATTTCACAGTTTATGTTACATGATTACTGTTATACAGTCAGTGTTATACTCTCATATCAGTCATTGTTATGCCTATCTTATAATGAATTATTCGTAGTGTACATTAGTAAGCACCTACTGTTATACAGCCGTTGTTATATGGACAGTGTTTGCAACTACTGTTATACGTCACTATTATATTGTCACCGTTGTGCTGTCATTGTTATACCTTTCTTATATTGTCTTACTGATACTGTCATTGATAAACAGTCACTGTTATACAGTCGCTACTGTTACTTTCATACTGCTATACAGTAGCTGTTATGATGTACCAGTTATAAAATTACTGTTATACTGTCAACATGATATTATCACCCTTAAACAGTCATTGCTTTACCTTCATTGTAGTGCTGTCATTAGTGTGCAGATCCTGGTAAATAGTTGCTGTTATACAAGTATTGCTTTGTAGGCATATTCTTACTGTTAACATTTCTGCGTTTACTTAATACGGTGACTGTTATATAGTCCTTGTTAAACCATCAGAATTGTGCTGTTACTGTACTGCATTCATTGTGGTATGGTTATGTTCTTAGTTTCACACATTCATGTGAAGCAGTAATTGCTAATCTGTTATCTGTCTAACCACTAATATTGCACTACGACTGTTATACTGTCACGACTATCTAGGAATTATACTACCATTGTTATTCCATCACTTTTGTATTGATTATGCTATACTGTCACAGTTACCTTGTCACTTTCATACTGGCTCTTTTATATTGTTTTTGTTATACTGTTATACTTCTATACTTCTATACTGTTATACTGTTATACTGTTATACGGTTATACTGTTATACTATTATACTGTTATACTGTCGCACTGTTATACTGTTCTACTGCTAATACTACTCATACACTCACTGCCATAATTGTCTATTTAATACAGTCACTATAAGACAATCGTTGCTATCACAGTCACTGTGATGCTGTCACTATCTTCGCATAGAGCAAGGCACATCTCTGCCGTGCGTGCTTGTGTCATCGTTGTGATTGTTAGGCAACCTCATCACCCACTCCCACGACTCTCTGCCATGGCCCGGCTCTGACTCAGCTGTGTACAAATGATTCTAGCCCAATGAAGATGCATGCAAATATAAATATTTGCATCGATTTGTGTTGTACAAGCATCGGGCGCTGTGTTTCCGGGTATTGTACAAGCTATCTTTCCCCATTGCGCCCAGGCAGCCAGGCAGCCAGGCGTCCCGGCACCCATGCGAAGCCATTTCGATACTACGTATGCGCCATGCGCTCGGTCGCATCTTTCCATCATAAGCCGCATGATGAAAACATTTTCATTGTTTTTGCTGTTTGCTCATCGTTGACTTTGCAATTTGTATGATGGCTTGGGTGCGTCTAGCGTGCTGCACATATGCTGATGATGATGACCGGGCAGGCCCAAGCACACACACAAACACACACACATATATATATATAACAATATAACATATATATATATATAACAATCCCCCATGCATTTACCTCGTTTGACAGCCCATATCACAGGCATTAACCGGTGCGGTCGCTATCGCCGCCTTTGTCATCATCTCATGCGTTGCCGTCGTTGTTGAGGACGATTCGGCGTCGTCGCCATCGATGCCGCCGCAGAGGCTCGTTTGGGTCATGTCCGGATTCCGGCGCAATATGCTGTGCTCCTTCTCTTTAAAGTCGGCCTTGCTCGGCTGCGTCGACATGGGCACAGCCTCGCGATAGTAACGATTCGAGACGTCATCGAGTATTTGCAGTGACGTCTGCGAATGCTTCTGTCTGCAATGAGTCAATCCAAAAGCCAAAATGTTCAAATCAATCAAACACCAAATCAAAGAGACCTCAATCAGCCAAAGAAATCCGCTAATGACAGATTCAGTTGAGGCGAGCAACTTCTTTCATCAGTTCGAATCGTAAAAGTTTTGCGTAAATCGAATTTATATTTGATAAATTGCATTTTTTTTTAATTTTAAACATGATGCAGCTCCATATTGTATAACAATTTGAACTATATATATACAACTACAGATATATCTATCTATCTAACAGTTTGAACAGTGTGAACTTTCAGTATTTTTATTTACATTTATTACCCGGAATTTTTATAGATTTTATTAAACATGATTGATATGATATGATATGCATATTGTATAACAATTTCATACTAGATTATATATAAATCTAGTCATTTAACTTATCCGACATTCTACTGGTCCAAGTAATTTCGAAATGCAAACTTTAAATTAAGCATGAGCAAAGTAGCTGCTGCCATAAACAGGTGCAATCTGTCTGGGCTAACGGCCAGGTAAAAATCTGGTTAAATTCAATTAACTCACCTTGATATGTTCTCGCGTGAACGCGCCTTGGAATTGCGGCCCATCTCGTCCAGCTTGCTCTCCTTGGACTCGCGTATGTGTTCCTGCAATAATTAAGAAATGGCAGAGAAATGGCCAACAAAGGTAAAAAATAAAAGATATGTTGCATGAATGAACAAGAGAGAGAGAGAGATAGCGTGATATATATATATGTATATATGAATATGAATACATATATATACGCATGTATGCATATGTTTATATATATTCAACCAATATTCAAGCATAATAAACGTAATAATAAATATTTTCAATTAATTTTGCGTATACTGAATGTTTGGACAGGACAGCGAGAGCGAGAGTGGGCGAACGGGAAACGGCCACAAAACAAAGCCTGCTCGAGTGCAGTGGCCATCGAGGTGGCAACTGGCCCCAGTCAACAGTATGCAGCAGCAGCAGCAGGAGCATCAGCAACAGCAGCAGGAGCAGCAGCAGCAGTGCACTGGGGCGTATGCGTAATATCAATTTTCAGTGGTTTCATGCTGGCAGCAACTGTCAACCGTACAGCCAAGGCAGCAATTAAGCCGTCGCCACCTGATACCCGGCTGCCGTCTGTCGGGAGACGACGCCACCCACTGAGCAGCTGCCTCAAGTTAACCCACAGTCGAAGTCATTAATACGCCGATTGTGCCCAAGGACTCACAGCAAGGAGCAGCAACACTTGAGCGTGCATAAAACGCAGCATAAATACGCAAATACTACATAATAATGAAGGCAGCAGAACGAAACGGAACGGAACCGAACCGAGCAACTGCACCACCGAATGGGATGACATGGACCACAGCAGAGCAGAGCAGAGCAGAGCAGAGCAGAGCACAAAGCAGAATCAAGTGAACAAGGCAGCCGCAGCTGCAGCAGCTGAGGTCAGGGAGGTCGGCGAGCAGCTGACCCCACTGTAGCTGGAGATGCGCTCAGCGCGAAATCTCTGAGCTCCTTGCTTAAATTGCCGCATTGTGGTCGTCGCTGTGGCTCGACCGAGCACCTCAAACTGCATTTATAATCAAATACGCAAGTCAAACATTTTATCCATTTGCCTATCCTATTCCATTTTCCCACTGTTTATTATACAATATTTCTATTTGCATTTCCATTTCCATTTTCATCTCCATCTCCACTTAGTGTCCATCATTTAAAGCCGCGTGCCACTACATCTTCAATTAGAACAACAACTTCTAGGCTATTTGCTATTGCTATGTTCTTCTTCTTCTTCTGCTATCCTTTTTATTGTTTTTTGTTTTTTAATATTAGTTCAATGAACCCTTACGAGCTTAGGAGCCTTTATGCCAGAACTAATACTTTAGTAATTGGTTTATGTTCTTTTTTTTTTTCCTCTCTAGGTTTTTCAATAATATTTACATTTACTCAATTCGATTTTGCTTAGCCTCGTAATTGGGTATCTGCTGTGCTTAAGCCTTGTTAGGGTGCTCATTATTAGATATTGCATAACTGCCTTTTTTATTTATTTTATGCCCTGAACCCATTGATGAAAATGGAAAGTCGGGCTCGTGGAAATGAATGTAAGAGGCAGTGGGAAGCGTGTCAGACCCTTAGATTCTTGAACAGGACGACGAGCTGAGTCGATTTGGATCTATTCGTCCATTTATTCGTTCGTTATTCTGTTCGCCTTATCTACCTCAAGGATCGTCTTGCTCATCCGTTTGTCTATGAACGTTTCGATCTCAGAACCTATAGGAGCTAGAGCTTTGGAATTTTTTTCTTTATCCATACTCTATATTTAATGTAGGGATCAAGTTTGATTAAGAAGTAACTAATAATTCCAATTTAATGATTATCACCTAAACACGTTATCGAAATTCAGTTCAGTTGCAGGAAAAGTTGTCAATCATCTTCTTTTCTTTATGTGGTAAATTGTTTACCACAATTTGATTTTAGAATCCTATTATTTTAAAAGTCTTTTAAATTGAAATTCAGTTTAGCAACTATAGAAAAATGCGAAAGAAACTGGCAAACTTTCAATAGAATGTGTAGATGATATTGAAAATATCCGTTAAGTCCGTTAAGTAACACATGAGTTATTAAGAAAATACATTTATCTCACGTAAGATTCGGCACCAGCTATGGAGCAGTTAAAAAAAGTTCTGATGCATCAGGGTATTTGCTAGTCGGCCACTTTAGCTTAAAACACTCTTGCTTGTTTATTATAATTCGCGTGTTATTAATACTCTGACTTGACAAGCTCAGGGGGGGTTCGCTTATTAGTTTCGTACACAAAGTAGTTTTAAGCTAGAGACTCTGTAGCTGGCAATTAGTGTTAATTGAAATATCCTAGAAGAGTCACTCAGGCGTTTCCGTCTAAACTTACTTTCACTTGAAATTTTCCGTTATTGCGTATACTTAATACAACAAAGAAAGCAAGATTTTTGTATAATTTAATTTCTTTTGTTTACTTTTTTGTTCTATTTTTTTTTCTTTATTATTATTATTTATTTATTTATTTTCATTAAATTTGTTTGATAAATGTTAACTATTCAGTTTGGAATTATCCGCTACAGCAATACGTAAATAGGAATAATTATGACACAAATGGTATGCTTGATTGTTAATTGCGGCTTCGTGTGATATCTTATATGTATCACTGGGTAAGAGCGGCAATATTTAACGTATCTATATTTATATGTAGTATATAAATTTAAATTCCATTTCTAATATGTTTTATATGAATGTCACTTAACTAAATGCAGATTGAATTTGATTCACAAAACCAAAAAACATTTTTCGAAAAACAATGCAAACATAAATGGAAATGGAAATGGAAAGAGAAATAGAAATAGATTTTGGCCACATTTGCTTTTTTTTTTTGATTGATTGACTGACAGATTGATCATGAAAAAATAAATCAAATTTGCAACCAGGCCTACGAATTCATTTAAAAGGGGAAACAATACATTTGAAGTGAAAATCGAATGGGCTTAAAAATAATTGTGCTTCGCTGCTGGTAAATGCTAAGGAAAGCCAATTGAGAGACTTTTAGAGGCAGTTCGGGTGAGCGTGGGGGTGGGGGTAGGTGCTCGGGGTTGGCAGTGGGGGCAATGAGCGTTCGATTGAGTATGAGCACGAGTGAGTAAGTGGCAGCGACCTCTGGCTCACAGTCACAAACACAAAGGCAGGCCAATAAGGGGGTGAGAAGGGGTAAGCGCATATCGAGCCGAATAATGGAATGGGAATGTGTGTATGTGTGCGTGTGTGTGTGCGTGTGTATGCGTCGAATTGATTTCTGATCTGTGATTCATTGTGGAATAGTTAAGACGATCCGGAGAGCAGCAGTCACGCCCACGCCGACGCCCACGCTGGCTTAGATGATTTTATGAAAGAACTTCAAGCCGCGCCTGGCCTTTGGCTTCGCCTTGCCTCCAGTTGCCTCCAGTTGCTGCAGCTGCAATTGCTGCACCTGCAGCGGCGCTGGCGGCGGCGGCGGCGTCAGCTGTGGCAGTATCGCGTCCATTTCGGTGGACGTTGACGAGCAGGCGGTGCCCGTGGGCGTGCTGCACTGCAGCGAGCTGGTATACGAGTTGCTCGAGCTGGGCAGCTCCAGGTGAGCACCGGTTAGTGCCATGCAATGGCCAGCTACGAGCACGAATTCATCGTCTTCGGGCACGGTGGCGCTGTCGCTGTCACAGCTGAAGCCGATGCCATCGTCGTACTCATCGTCTTCCTCCTGCTCCTCCTCCTCCTCTTCTTCCTGCTCATCGTCCTCGTCCGCCGCCGCCGCCGCCTGCTGGCCCTCCTCTGCCCGCAGCTGCTCCACATGTCCCTCTGCCTCCAGCTGCTCTCTCTCGCCGAGCTGCGCCGCCTGCTCTGGCTTATAGTGACAGGCATTGTCGTACGCCAGCCGGCGCTCCGGCCCATTGTTGCTCGGGCAATCGTAGCCGTAATCGTAATCACATTCGTAATCGCAGTCGTAATCGACCCTCACCGGCGCCACCTGTTGCTGCTGCGCCTCATAGTTGCAATCTTGACTGCTGTTGCTGCCATTGCTGCCGTTGCTGTCGTTGCTGTTGCTTGGCTCCAGGTGATTGTAATCCTGATTAGCATATTGCTGCTGCAGTTGCTCGTCCAGCTGCTTACGCTGCTCGTGCTCGAGGCTGTATGCGAAATCGCATAGAAAATCGTTTTGTAATCCCACGAAAATGGCGCTCTTTGGAGCGCCCAGGACAAAGGAATCAATGTGATAGATGCTATCACGCAGTGCTGGAACATCCTGTGGATAGAGCATATAGAAAGACAGAAGAACAGAAAGAGACAGAGAGAGAGAGGGAGAGAGAGAGAGAAAGAAAGAAAGAGAGAGAGACAGACAGTGTGTAGAGAAGATGTTGTGAGAGAGATAGACAGTGTGAGAGAAGTCAATGTCGAAGACGGTGAGCGTGTGTTTTATAGAGATAGAAAGAGAGAGACAGAGAGTGAGAGACATATAACACAATTGACCAAGAAAGTTGTGCCAGTCTATGTATATATGTGTGTATGTGTGTGTGACCATGAGTGAAAGAGATAGAGAGCACTACAGACACAGACACAGAGACGGAAAGAGAGAGAGTGAGAGTAGCAGGCGATAGGTCTGAGGAAATTGTGGTAGGGCTAAAAGTGCATCATGCATGACGACTCTACAGCTCTACGGCAAACAACAACAGCAAGCACATTAATGACAGCCATCATAAGGATGCTAGCCACACAAATACTAAAAGCCAAACAGAGCGACGAGAGAGCGAGAGTTGAGTGAACAAGAAACCCACGACAATTCGCACCGACCGCAAAGAGCAGACAAAACCCCTATGCCAAATGCTATGAAATCCACCTAAAAAGCAACCACAAAAATATCCAGAAAGGAAAAAATATAATAATAACTATACATAAGATATTTGTGCCACATATGTATGTATGTATGTGGAGTCTTGTGAAATGTGACAAACAGAAAACGAGCAAGCGAGCGACCATAACATAATCATAAACGAGTAAGAAAATTATAAAGATAGCGACGCAACGATGCTGAAATATCCTTTTTAGGATCTCTCTGTGCAGCTGGCATGGG